AAAAAAAAAAAGAGAGAGAGAGAGAAAGTATATGTATCCTTTTTGTAATTTATCACTTTAAGCAAAAATCAAGATTCTTCTCACTTAGGTCTTACTTCTTCCCCCAACCCCCAGTGGTAAGGTAGAATTTTATTAGACAGAAAGGAATATACAGAAGGAATAAAAAACCACCAGAGCTTCTGGCAAAGAGGAAGACCCAGGTCGGAAAAAAATCTCTAGAGTCCTTTGTCTAGGGAAGGTCTTACTTCTTAATTGATAAAAAGAAAATACAACATCTAGCAAAAACAACTAAAATCAGGAAACACTAAGACTGTATAGCACTAAAGTACCCTGAGAAAATTACCACTAGATCTACAAGTCATAGAACATGATCTATAAAACAGAATGTTGTAAAGGTCCTTAGAGCAGCTAATTCAAATTTCCCTACTGGGATGAAAATTCCATGTTTTGTCACCAACCTCCAAGAATTAACTATTTTGTTCATTAGTAATCCTCAGTACTCAGAATATTTCCTAGCATATAAGGACTATTCAACAAATATTTATACAATGAATTTTAAACCTAAGAAAACAAGCCAGGAAATTTAACCCAAACCCATACAGTTAGCTGTTGGCAAAGCTGAGACTGGAACTAACGCTTCATTAGTCTCGTAACGTATCATCTAAAAAAGCATTCTTCTTTTTTTTTTTTTTGGTAGAGACAGTCTCACTTTATTACCCTCGGTAGAGTGTTGCAGTGTCACAGCTCACAGCAACCTCAAATGCTTGGGCTTAAGTGATTCTCTTGCTTTTGCCTCCCAGTAGCTGGGACGACATTCACCCACCAAAACGCCTGGCTATTTTTTTGTTTCTGTTGTCACTGTTATTTAGCAGGCCCTGGCCGGGTTCAAAGACACCAACCCCAGTGCATGTGGCCAGAGCTCTAACTACTGAGCTATGGGTGCAGAGCCTAAAAAAGCATTCTAGAATATAACAACTTAGATAATGTATTTTGGTGGCTGGGAAGTTGAAGGGTTGGTTGGCAGGCACAGAAAGAGGAAGGAAGGCATAAACTAAAACATTTCACGTTTTTCCCCAAAGTTGTTAGTTTTGCAAAAAGGCAAAAATTATAAACAAGACAATCCTCGCACAGTACCTAATACAAAACTGGTACTTAAAAAAAAACAAAACTGTTGAATGGACCAGGTGTAGTGGCTCACACCTGTAATCCTAGCACTCTGGGCGTGTGAGCTAGGAGGATCACTAGAGCTGAGGAGTTCAGGACTAGCCTAACCAAGAGTAAGATCCTGTCTCTGCAACAAAATAGAGAAATTAGCCAAGCATGGTGTTGTGCCCTGTAGTAATTTATGTATTTTATATATATATCTATCCATCTATATCTAGATATACAGAATGAATCTATGAACCTACTTCAAAATCATCATCATCTCCTAACCAGTGGCAGAAACTAACTTCACCATCTATTTAATCTGCACAACTGATATAGAGCCCTTTAGAATTTTCAGTCATTAATTAAACAGTTATTAATCACTTTCCTCCAGGCACTGAGGGATAGATAACTTAAACAAACGTCCCTGCCCTGAAAGATCTCTCACTCCTTATGCACATGTCTATGTGTGTGTGTTGGTAGGATAAGAGGGGAGAAACAAAGGGTGATATAAACAGATTAATAATGAATGTGAAACTAGGATGCACTGTTAATCTGTTTACTGGGCTCAAGCAGTTAACAAATTAAAACTAAATTTAAAAAACCACAAATCTCCAAAGTTTGGGGGGGGGGGGTTGTGGGCTTTTTTTTCCTCTTTTTTTGGGACACAGAGTTTCATTCTGTCACTGGAAGTAGAGTGCCATAGCATCAACCTAGCTCACAGCAACCTCAAACTCCTGGGCTCAAGCAATTTGTGCCTCCGCCTCCCTGCCCCTACCCCCAACAGGAGCTCAAATTACAGGAACCCACCATAACCTCTAGCTAATTTTTCTATTTTTAGTAGAGATGAGGGTCTCTTTCTTGCTCAGGGTGGTCCCCAACTCCTGAGCTCAAGGGATCTTCTGGCCTCAGTCACCCAGAGTGTTAGGATTACAGCTATGAGCCACCTTGCTGGGCCAAAATTTTAAAATAATAAAGAGGCACATTAGGGTATACTAACAACTGGAAAGTTCTTTTTTCCTGTGCCTCTACAATATATATCTCTGTGCCTCTTTGTCTCTTAAAATTAAAATGTTCCAAATTGACTTATTTGAATTACCAATAAAAATTAACCACTGATATATGTTCTCTGATATGTGAGACACAAGGATAATACCTCCTACTGATTCAGTATTTGCTGTGTACATGTTAATTAATACCTAAACACATAACCACAAGAACATATGTAAATTTTTAAGTGGTTATAAAACTGACAGAACCTAAAGCAATTCTCTAGAGACGAATGATAGTAAATAGAAACTAAAAACACAGTATTATACAGAGAAAATAAAGTACGCACACAAATAACTAAGAAGCAATTCTACAGAAGTCCTCAAGAGAACAAAATCTTCAAGAGGGGAAAACTGCCAGAATTAGTCAAAAGAGCCAGAAAACAACAGCCTGCCAAGACGGATCTTGTTTAATGCAAGTCACTAAACAGACTCACGGAAAGTAAATAACCAAAAGTCAATGTTGCTGTTCCTCAAATTTGAGTTTCAGGAGGACACTTGCAAAGAGATGTATGTAAACCATCACATTCCATGTTAAGGGATTTTTTTGACCAGGACATCCACCAAATAAACTCAGAATTGGGAAGCTGGAAAACAGACTTCACTTATGAGACTTATAATTCCTGCAAACTTTGACCTGAGGCACATATTTTTATGTGACTCCTGGTTCCTAAGAAGACACTTTCCTCTCCATCTTTTTATCCCAGAGTGCTAAGCAAAACATCCCAAAGCTTCTTGATTCAACAGAAAATTCTATTGCCCAAATGTATGCCCTATCCCAGTGTCAAAGCGTTAGAAACACCACCAAATCTAGGCCAAGATGACAGGGAGATCAGGCAGGCAGGTCCACTGGGGTGGGTCCCCACTGGGAAGTAGACAGCCACCAGCCTCTGAAGAGACCAGGCTGAGAAGGTGAGGAGGGAGCGAGTTTTGGTCAGAGAAGCAGGAAGAGACTGGCAGGTGTCTGTCACCTCTTCATCCAAGACAACGTGTTTAGATTCCAATTGGCTTTCTTTACAGAGAGGAATGAACCACGTTCTCAGAGTGATGTTTAGAGGTTTTCTGTAAACTGCAAGGACTATGGAGGGCAAAAAGGCAAGAGGCAAGACCTTGAGAACAGGTTTGGGTGAAGATTACCCCCGAACAAATGCTCCTAGGTCGTTCCCAGCACCAGGACTGGAGGAACCACCCCACCTGTTAAAGAGAACCGTTTGGACAGCGATTAGGGGAGAGCCCCGGGGGGCAGTTGAGTAGACAGGAGCAGGAAAAGACTGCATGGGGGTCTCTCTCAGAAGCAAGGGGGGAAGAGACTGAATTTAAGAAGGGGCTAGCAGATGAGGGACCTGGGTAGGATGAGACTTACTGGAAGCTAGACTGACTCATTAAACTGTTGGGAAAGGAAGACTTTCGCTGGACTCCGGTGGGCAAAGGCCAGTTTAGGGAAAGACCAGTTCGGAGGGGGCCTGCGCGTCCGGCTCGGGAAAGTGACTCTAACTGGGACGAGCGGGCTGCCCGGCCCAGAGGGTGAACCTCGTGCGACCCAGGGGTGAGGCTGATCCGCACGAGCTCAACAGGAGCTCACCTGGGGTGCGTCTGGCCTGGAAGCAGTAAACTTCCTGGGCGGGTCAAAGCTGACCGGAGCGAGCCGGGCCCGACACCGGCTGAGCGTGGCTGGGGTCACCGTCCCCGCCGGAGTGCGCGGAGGGGTCGGCCGGGGCTGGACGGCGGGGGCCGCGCGGGGCGGGGCTGGGGGCGCCGACCGAGTCGGGGCGGGGTCGCGGCGGCCACGGCGGAGCCCCGGCCGGGGATGGCGCCCTCCCTCACCCGGCTCACGCTCTCGCTCGCACACACCGGCCGCCCGGCCCGCGAGCCCGGAGAACCTGCCACGGCGGGCGGAGCGGGGGGCGGGGAGGGGGGGAGCCCGGCGGACGGGCGGGCGGCGTTACCTGTGTCAGGGAGAACTGGGCCGCCGCAGCCATGGTGTTTCCATCATGCACGGGAGGGGAAGGAAGGACGGGCAGACTAGGGCTCGGGGCGGGGAAGAGGCGGAGGGAGCGGCCGTAGGCGAGGCCCGGGCTGGCGGGCGGGCGTCTCCCCGAACTTCGACAACTTCCCTCCTCACGCCCGCCCCGCCCCGCCTGGCCCCGCCCGCCCGAGCAGGCCGCGGCGGCGCCCAAACCCCGGCGCCGGAGTGGGAGCGGCCGGATCAGAGCCTGGCGGGGGCCGCCTGGGAAAACCCGGCGCGGATATGTCATTAAGGCGGACGGGCTGCGGCGGCGTCTTCAGGTTGGCCTGGGAACTTTAGGAAGGTCACCTACCTATTCTGAGATTCTGCTTATGAAAAATGGGGGAAATTGGCTCGGTGCCTGTAGCTCAGCGGCTGGGGCACTAGCCACATACACCGGAGCTGGAGGGTTCGAATCCAGCCCAGGCCCGCCAAACAACTACAACTGCGACCAAAAAAATAGCCCTGGGTTGTGGCAGGGGCCTGTGGTCCTAGCTACTTGGGAGGCTGAGGCAAGAGAATCGCTTAAGCCCAAGAGTTTGAGTTTGCTGTGAGCTGTGACGTCACAGCACTCTACCCAGGGCTACAGAGTAAAACTGTCTAAAAAAAAAAGTCTTAGAGAATTATAAAACCATACTGGGTCCTGCTTAGGTGCCTGCAGCACTCTCAACTTCTCTTGTAGTACACCTGGCAAACTCCTTCCTTTCTCAGAACACAATTCAAATACCGGTATCACTTCCTTGGCAAAGTTCTTCTCTCCTCCTACAGTCAGAGTTATGTATGCTCCTTTTTAACCTTTATTCTCTATCTTGTGAAGTCCTCATCACCCTAATAACTATTTCACCCATCTACCTCTCCAGATTAAAAGCTCCTCAATGGCAAGAACTGTTTTTGATATATAGTAGAACCTCTGTAAGTTGACCACCTAAATGACTGTAATAAACTGGTCATATACAGAGGTGGTCGACATAAGGAACTGGGCCTACTGTACTGATTCATACATGTGGTGCACATCCCCTCTAAGAAAATTAGGTCAACTTAAGGAGGTGATCAACTATGGAAGTTCTACTGTATTTCTGTTAACATATCCTTAGACCCTAACATTGTAGTTTGTGCTTAATAATGGCCTTAGTTCCTTGCCTGTATTAAACACAACGCATCCTACACTTTCTTATGCTGCCAACCTTCAGCTGAAATAATCAGTTATATGAAATTCTCATCTTCAAAGATTTAGTTTATATGGCATCTACTTCAAGAAGCTTTCTGGGAACACCCCACTTCCAAATATGACCTTTGTTATACCTCACTATCCTTATTATAATAGTGAATTTATTATATTATGTCTTGTTTTTAAGAGTTGAGGGTTTGTCTGCACTCCACTAGACTGTAAAATCTTTGAAGACTCATTACTACATCTATCCCATGCTTTAGCCTAGCACGGAGTAGGCCTCAATAAGTGTATTTGCCCAGAATTGGTCTTTACTTTCTCAGCCATGGTGGCTTCCCATGATAGTAAAGCACAGCTCTATCAGGCCTGCACCCATAATGATTATCATAGCAATCTCTATTCAGTGCACTAAAAGAGAAAACTGAACAATACCCAGGAAGATTTTAGCCCCACCTAAGTTTTTAGATTTGTCATCCTGGGCAAACCATTCCAGAAATGCCCCCAGGAACTCCTAACTCTACTCAGACCACTTCTGACAAGGTCCAATCACAAAGAATAGGCCATGTAGGTCTGGTGAGCATATCGCTTGCCCTCTTTTGGCTGCTAATTCTCTTTAAATCAAGGGAGAAGGGAAGATACTGTTTTGTTTTGTTTTGTTTTTTAGAGGTAGAGTCTTATTCTTTCACTCAGGTTGGAACACAGTGGTTTGATCATAGCTTATTGCAGCCTCCAACTCCTGCTTTGAAGCTAATCCTCTTGCTTCAGCCTTCCAGTAATTGGGACTGCAGGCCCATGCTACCATGCCTGAAACTTTTTTTGTTTTTTGTCTCACTATGTCACCAGGCTGGTCTCAAACTCCTAGGCTCAAGCAGTCCTCCTACCTTGGCCTCCCAAAGTTCTGGGATTACAGGCATGAACTTCTGTACTTAGCCAAAATACTGTCTTAAATCACTCCACTTTGGTATGATTATCAGGTATAACTACAATTAATATTTCTACTGGCATTTTGTATTCTGCATTACCACATTTGAGCTTTACAACAGCTCTGAAAGGAAGTAATCATGCTCACTTTACAATGAAGTACCTCAGGGTCACAGAAGTTAAGTGATTTGTCCAAGGTTATGCAACTAATAACAAAAGCAGTAGAGTATCGTGAAATAAATAAGACTCAGATAAGAAGAACATGCAGGTTACAATCCTGGCTCTACCATCTGCTACTTGTATGGCTTTAGGGTTGTTGTAAGGATGAATGAGATAAGATATATGGAAGTGCCTAAGTTATAGATACGAGGTCTGACAATTATAGTTAGCAAACTCATCCTAGAAAAAGTGCTACAGGGTGGTGCCTGTGGCTCAAAGGAGTAGGGCGCCAGCCCCATTTGCCAGAGGTGGTAGGTTCAAACCCAGCCCTGGCCAAAAACCACAAAAAACAAATAAACAAACAAAGAAAAAGTGCTACCTTCCTCATTGATGAATATCACTTAGCCAAAATACTGTCAAAGTACTTAGCTAAAGTACTTTGAAGTACTCCTTTTGGGAAGCAATGCACTGAAGCCAACACCTAGTCCACCTCTCAAAGCAATTTTGGAACTTTTTGTGGAATGGCCATCAAAGCCATCATCATATTACCCTTGATGTCCTTAATGTCATCAAAATGTCTTCCTTTCAGAACCAGCCCCCGTAGCACAGTGGTTACGGCACCAGCCACATACACCAAGGCTGGTGGGTTCAAACCCAGCCCAGGCCAGCTAAACAACAATGACAACTGCAACCGAAAATAGCAGGCACCTATAGTCCCAACTTGGGAGGCTGAGGCAAGAGACTCACTTAAGGCCAAGAGTTGAAGGTTGCTGTGACCTGTGTTGCCACGACACTCAACCAAGGACTACATAGTGAAACTCTGTCTCAAAAAAAAAGTCTTGGGCAGCACCTGTGGCTCAAAGGAGTGGGACGCTGACCCCATATACCAGAGGTGGCAGGTTCAAACCTGGCCCTGGCAAAAAACTGCAAAAAAAAAAAAATCTTCCTTTCAATATTTCCTTTATCTTCCGATAAAGAAAAAATTCATTAAGGGCCAGATCAGTGAGTAGGGAGGGGTTCCAGTACAGTTATCTGTTTACTGGCTGAAATCTCCCTCACAGGTAGCACCGTGTGAGCTAGTACATTGTCCCAATGCAAGACCTCATATCTATAACATTAGGCACTTTCATATGAGTTGTTAGCCAAGATTTTTAATTAAGATTTTCCTGTTTCTCTATTGAAGTTTACTTGGTATTTTCTGCTTCTCATAGTCAACAGACAGTTTTGATGCACAATTTGACAAATTTTTACAATGTTATCATCAGTTCTGCTCATTACTAGCTGCCTTCACCTCTTTTCATCAGTGATGCTTTCTCTCCCCTCAGAAAAACATTTAATCCATTTGTACACTGCCATTTTCTTCATGGCATTATCCCCATAAACTTGGACTAACATGTCCCCGGTTTCACTTCCACTCTTGCCAAGTTTAACAAGAAATTTATGAATGTTTGTTCACTGCTCTAGTTGGAGCTCCAACGTTCTTGTGGTACCCAAAAACACAACAATAATGAACATCAATCAGCAAGACATCACCACATGTTGGGATGAACAAAACCGTGAGGCACTGACACACCAAGGTTATGGAACCTTATCAAGTTGTTTGTATAGTGTTGTCAACGTTAATTGTCAGACCTGGTACATAAATTATGAAATCTGAAAATTATGGGGCAAGTTGCTATTGGTAGTACATTTCACTTACTGTTCAAGGGATTCTTCCAAACTATATGAGATCTGAGATAGTATTCTTGGATGAACACAGAAGAATTCCCGCTGCACAGAGATTCCTGAAAAGGCAGTTCTGTGTGGCAAAGGGAATTGGAGTCACCGCGTGACTCAGGCAAACCATTCATCCTGAGCCTCAGTTTTCACATATGAAAATTTTCCAAAGTACTATGAAAAATATTGAAGAATGTAAGGAATTATTGTTATAATTTATATATGATTTAAGTTAAATCAAAAATAACATCTTACCTCGGTGCAGTGGCTGGCCCCTGTAGTCCTAACTACTTAAGCAGCTGAGCCTAAAGTTTGAGTTCAGCGTAGGCAACAACCAAGACCCTGTCCTTAAAAAAAAATAATAACAGGCTCGGCGCCCATAGCTCAGTGGTTAGGACGCCAGCCACATACACTGGGGCTGGAGGGTCCAAACCTGCCTCGGACCTCCTAAACAACAATAACAACTACAACAACAACAACAAAAATAGCTGGGCATTGTGGTGGGTGCCTATAGTCCCATCTACTTGTGAGGCTGAAGCATGAGAGTCGCTTAAGCCCAAGAGTTTGAGGCTGCTATGAGCTATGATGCCACGGCACTCTACCTAGGGTGACATAGTGAGACTCTGTCTCAAAATAAATAAATAAATAATACCTTGTATTTTTATAGTACTGCTTTCCACAGTTTATAAAATGTTTTTTTTTACAGCATCTAGCACAACTCCTGATTTTTTTTTTTTTTGAGACAGAGCCTCAAGCTGTCCCCCTGGTTAGAGTGCTATGGCATCACAGCTCACAGCAACCTCCAACTCCTGGGCTCAAGTGAGTCTCCTGCCTCAACCTCCCAAGTAGCTGGGACCACAGGCACCCACCACAACGCCCAGTTATTTATTTGGTTGTAGCTGTCGTTGTTGTTTGGCGGGCCTAGGCTGGATTTGAACCCACCACCTTAGGTGTATGTGGCTAGCACCTTAGCTGCTTGAGCCACAGGCGCCAGGCCAACTCCTGATGTTTAATAGCTACATTATGAAAGTCTGTTCAATTAAAATGAACATTTCATAACATGTATAATTATTATTGGGATCTTCACTTGTCCCCTACTTTATAGATTAGAAAATCAAAGGACAAATA